CGGGTCTGCCTTGAGGAAAACAGGGAGCGTTGGTTGTGATCCCGAGGATAAAACCCCGGGATATCCCCGAGCCAGCTGTGCAGTGCCATTCCTGGGAAGCTCGTGCTGCTCTTGCACAAAGTGTCCTCCTGAAGTGGCCCAGAGCACCCCCCAAAACAGACCCACGAGGCAAAACACCACTTGTTTTCCGTGGGAAGTTCAGAGAAGTTGCCCTCCCCCGAACTATTTCCCGTAAAATAAATTCGTCTTCCCAATTCCAGCTCCATTTTGGCATCCTGCTTTTCCTCACTCTGGCAGGTTACTTTTTTTTTTTTTCCTCCCCTCCTCTTCTTCTTCCACGGGGTAAAATGGAAAAAAGCAGAAAGGATAAAAATAACCCCCAAAATAAACTTTTTCCAACGTTAAAAATCCAAACTATTCCATATAAAACAAAGCACCACTGGAGCAAAACAGAGCATTTTTCATTGAGTGTCTTGACAGAAAATATTTGATGCAAACCACCCCTGGCTTTAGAAGAATTTGAGTGTCTCACAAGGAGTGTTAACCCTGATGTTGTGCCAGGGAGCAACTCAATTTTGTCTATCTCCTTTGAATCCCCCCAAATAGATACATTGCTTCCCTTAATTCCTTTCCTTAGGTATTCCCAGAGCAGTGTTACAATCAAGAGCTTTTTGCCCTGTCTTAGAATTAAATTCACACTATTGTAACAGCCTGAATCTTGAATAAAGTTGGTGTTTTGTTGACTGTTTTTTTGGGTTTTATGTCATAAACTTTCACCAGCTATCACTTACATGATGCTGCCCTTGTGAAAAGCTTTTTGAGCTAAATACAACAGGAAGTTACCTGCATTCCTTCAGAATCCAACCACACAAAGAGGACGTGAAATTCCAAAAAAAACCCAAACAACAAAATCCTTTTCACAGCACGAATATTTTGGTTTTGTGCTCCACTCCTGAGCCAAGGCTTTGTTTTGGCAAAGTGCTGTAAAAACACAGGGCAAAACCCTCGTCCCAGTAAGCTTTTAAGTACACCAGGAAACAAGGTGAAAGGCAGGAGAAGGAGCCAGGGAAAACTAGAAAACAGCAAGTGTATTAAATGCTCTTATTGCTGATAAATGGGACAAATCCCTTGCCCCACCAAGCTTTTAAGTACACCATAAAACAAATAGTCAAAGGCAAGAGAAGGGGTCAGAGAAAACTAGAAAGCAGCAAGATTATATACTATTCTATATATACACTCTACTATATATTATATATTAGTTACCACTGAGAAATTTTGAAAATACCTGGACAATCAGCAGAAATAAAGACCCATAAAGCTTTGTTTTAAGCAACCTGAAAACTGTCTGTCTGTTACTACTTCCAGACAGAGCCTTCCATCAGAAAATTCCCCCACTGAGAGCACGAGTGGTTCGGGTTTTTTTTTTTTTAGAAAAGCTCAATATTGCAGTGTCTCTTGGCTTTCTGGGGCACAGGACAGCAAGGATTCAGGGAGAGGGATCTCAGGAGGATGTGACAGGCACACTGTCTCCTGGAAGGGGAGAGAAAGCAGTCTCCTGCAGCAGAGCACAGCCCCGGGCTGACCTGCCGACAGCTCCCGGATCCGAGCGGATCCTCCAGCTCCAGGTCTGGTGGATACCTGGGCTGTCAGAGCCGATTCCTCACTCCAGCAGGCACTGGGAGGGATCTGCACATTGACCTTTCTCCCAGTGCAGTGAGACAATCTGAGTGTGGGGGCTCAGTGCAGCCCCCGGGCAGGGCTGTCAGACACTCCCCGACCTCGGGGCTCACAGGGCCAAGTGAAGCTCCAAATGCACACCAGGGATTCCTGCTCTTCCAGCTGCTCCCACCCCAGTAACACCAGGATAACCCCCCAGTTCAGCACATGTGGCTCAGCCAACCCTTAACACCAATGTGAGGGTTCACTGCCAACAGCAGGACAGCAGAAAAAACAGTGATGGGTTTGGTCCCAGGGACCTCACTGAGAGCAGGAATGTGGGGTTTTTTTGTTAAAAATCCCCAACATTGCAGCGTTTCTTGGCTTTGCTGGGGCACAGGACAGCAAGGATTTAGGGAGAGGGATCTCAGGGAGATGTGACAGGGCACACTGCAGGAGAAGACCAGTCTAACCCCCCAGTTCAGCACATCTGGGTCAGGCAACCCTCACATGCACTGGGGTGAGGGACCCTCGACACCACTGAAGGTTCACTGCCAACAGCAGGACACCAGAAAGCTGGAGGACTGATTTAGTTTGGCACATCTGCTGCTCTGAATCCTAAATCCATGGGTTTCTGGAGGGCAGAGCACACACACCAGCCAGCAAGTGAAGGAAAAGCACAAACCCAGTGTCAAAACCATCACCCATCTTTGATTACAAAAATCAGCTTTTTACTTGAGTGGAAGGCTCGTTAAAAATATTCATGATGGAATTGAAGGAGGTAAAAGAAAGCAGAGCAGATTTGCCACCCCTGAAAATTTAAAGCAGTTCGCTAAAACTTTTAAATGAAAGCATTTGTTACTTTTTTTTTTTTACACAACCTTCTATTATGAAGTTTTTCCACTCAGAAGTGAAGAACCACAGATATTTCCCTCAGAAATTTCCATTTTGATGTGCAAAATCAAATCAATTTTGATTTGCAGTGGTGTCTGAAACAATTTTGACCCGGGATGAGAATCAGTTGTCACACACAGGTAACACACATAACAACATGCACCACCTTCCCCTGCTGCCTCATTCCCCCAGCCTTTACTGGCAAAGTGAGCATCTTATCAACACTTAGAAGAGTCTTTAATCTTGTCTTGTTTTAAAAGTCTCCTTCAAACAAATTGCCTCCTGTTTCCTGTCTCCCCACACGTGCCCCAGAGAGGTAAACAGTGTAAAGGACTCTATATATTAGCCATGCTCCTGGTATGTTTAATAATGAAACCCCAAACCAGGCAACCCTCCTTTCAAGGCTCCTCTAAAAACTTCTTTTCTGCTCTAACCTTTCACTTTTACGGATTTTCTGCAGTTAAAAAGGTATAGAAGTGCCAATGGTGACTTTGGTTTTTTGGTGCTGATAGACTTTCTCTAGCCAGGAAATGAGTTCCCCCAGCCTCCTTGTACTCGGGGTGATCTGGGAACAGGGAACCACTGTGCTTCCCTCCTTTTCCCTGGAGCACGCTTCTGATGCTGGGGAATGAAGCTGCACACAGAGCACAAAGACCAAGTCACCTGTTGACGAGGCAGGTAAAGCAGAGGAAAGAAAAGGGCAATTCAATGACCAGGAAACAGAATATTCCAGGTTTTGCTGCACCCAGTGCTTGGACAACTCCCACAGAGAGGCTGAGAAACCTGACTCAGGTGAGGCCTTTTGTTCTGCACCCCTGTGTTCCTGCCATGGGGGAGATGCTCAGATGGCAAAGATAAAAGATAAAATGATAAAGGCCATTAAGATAAAATGATAAAGCCCATCGTGTTTCATAAATAAAAGCAGCAAAGGCAAGTTGTCATTACATCACAGCCAAACCCACACCTTTTCTGTGGCAGCAGTTTATTCCTTTTGCTCCAAGCATTCAACATATGGGAATATTCAGCAGCTGAATAGGATCAGAGACTGCAGTTCTCCATCAGCAACCTGCCCTTCTGCCTCCCTGATTTCCACAGATCCACTTTCCTGAGCAGCCCAGACACCTCTGGCAGAAGCTCAGCTGTCCCTAAACTTGCTGTCTCACCTCCTGGGGTGCTCTTTAAATGCCTTGCCCACCACAGGGACACACAACTGGCCAAAGTAGATGTGCAGGGGGGACAAACTGCTGCCTGAAGGTTCTCCAGCACATCCAAGACCCATCCCATTCCCACAGACAAAACCTTTGCTGACAGCAATCTCTAGAGCAAACAGCTTTTTTCCAATTTATTCGGCAGCTCTACAAATTTTATTGTGTTTCAGATGGCTAAAAAAAAATTAAAATCTCTCTGGTCCACATTCCACACCTGAGACTGAAGGACTGGGCTGCCCCTGAAACATTTCATTCTGGCTGCTCAAAACCCCTGTTCTGCCCGTGCCCAGCCACAGAAATGCAGCATCCTGTGGGGCTCAGCTCCTCCCAGGGAAGCAAGGACCAGCCCACTTTTCCACACCTGTATCCAGGTGCCCGGGAAGACGCGGAATTCCCGGTCTTTGCCCGGGCAGGGCGGAGGTGGGAGCTGAGGGGCTGTCGGCAGGGTGTGGGGAGCAGAGCAGAGACAGGGGCTCACTCCTCACATCCCAGAGGGGCACAAACCCAGGCTGCTCCCGAGCCAGACCGGGGGACAAACCCCCTCCCAGACCTCGGCTCTGCAAACTCTTCTCTCCGCAGGCTGCAGCTTTAACAGGCAGCTCTTCTGCTTCCCTCTCCTCTAAGGTCTCCTGTTCCATTTTCCACTCCTCTCCTACTCAATCAGCCTCCACCTCTTTCCTTTCCCTTCTTTCAGCAGCCCTCTCTCTTCCCTTCCCTCTTTGTGTCCCTTCTCCCATCCTTTTCTCCCCCAACTCCTCCCTCTTGCACTTCAACACATCTGTTTCTAATCTTAACCATCCATTGGAAACAATAACCCCTTTTTATTTAAAAAAAAAACCCAAAACCCAAACAACTGAAAGCTGAGTGCCCAAGCAAATCAAAACAGTTACACAAATTTGACACTACGCCTGAAACAAAGACATTTTGTTCACCTTTTTCTGCCAGAGAGGCTCAAGCCCCTCATTAGTTTATCACTGAAAAGCAAAAACAAGAGACACACATTCCCAAATGAGCCCATTTAACCAGCAATTTTAAAATTAATCCGGATATTAAGAGATCTCTGGTGATCAACCTGCTAATAAAGCGACGAGGAAAGCATCAGGACCCGAACACTGCTGAAATTACAGTTTTCCATGAAAGTTTTTGCCTCACAAACCCCTCTCTCCAGCTCACCAGAAACGAATTTCACTCATACAGAGGAGACCCGTGGAAGTTTGATTAAAAAAACTAAACAAAACCTACCTAGGAAGAGGATTGGAAGTGCAGACATTCCGTCTCCAAGCAAGAGGGACTTTTCCTCCCTTTTTCTTCCTTCCTTTCTCCCAGGAACAGCAGGCAGACCTGCACAGGATTCAAAGGAACGCCTCTGGAATGCACTGAGTGTAATTGCATCCATGTGCCAGAAAAATAACCAACTTCACTCCTTCTTCCCTCCTGCTATCCATCTCCTTGTCCATGTTCCACCGGGGGCCGGGCAGAGCTTTCAGGGCTCTGCAGCTGCCGACTGAGGCCCGGGGAGTTTGGGGAGGAGAAGAGGCAGAGGCAGTGCAGGGACTTCACATCCACGGCGGCACAGAACAGTTTGGCTCGTGTGGAAAGGAGAGAAGCAGGAGAAAAAAAACCACTGTGCTCAATGTTCACCACATGGCTGCCTCCCCCAAGAGCCCCTCCCTGCCATCAGCTGGGATTAATAGCCAAGACCAGTCATGTGGGTGAGGTGCAGCTCCTTTCTAGCAGCAAAATATATGTTTGGGGTTTTTTTTTTGAAGTGTTAAAACAGTTAAGTTTGGAGGCAGTAAAAATCCAGCCTGGAAAAAAAAAAAATTAAAAAAAAAAAATCAGATTCGTCACTCAAGGGTTAGAAAGACACTCTTGGAAGAATCACACACACTCCTCGGATCATAAACACACAGATACATTAGCTTTGTTCTCTTTCCTAGATAATAAATTGCAGGATTAAAGCTTTTAGTCTTGCTGGAAATACTTGCTCTGTGGTTTTCTTTTGGAGTTTCTAGGAGAGAAGAAAAAAAATTCCTAAAAAGGGATTTAATTTTACACTGATGAGCGAAAAGCCAAATCAAGCACAAATTGGTTGTCTACATGTAGTGGGTGCAACTTATAACTCACTCCCAAAGGGCATTTTTTAGGCAGCCTGAGAGACTTTTACAGCCCATCTTCAGCTTCACCTCAGTGCAGTCACAAAGGGGGGCAAGTTTTAAAAATCACCTCAGATATTCCTCTCCATCGAACACAGGGGGTGGCAAATCAAACATCTTCACCCATCGTGGTGCCAAAGGGAAGCTCTGGAATACAGGACAAAAATTCTTCCCCTTAGGAGCAATTATGAAAGTGTTTCTAAATCCTAAGAGAAGGAGCTGCCAGACTGTGCTTTGGGACATCAGACTCCAGTTTCAAGCTCTCTCTCCCCCTCTCTGTAATCCCACCTACACATAATTCCTACAGACTTCACCATAAAATCAGGGACTGATGTTCTTTCTCTCTCCAGGGATGGAAATAAACCCTGTGCAGAGCCAGGAAGTGGACTCAATGATCTTTGTGGTCCCCTCCAACTCAGAATATTCTGCTTTTTTATGAAATACAGCAATTTTTATGAAGTCCTTAATGAGGGGCACAACACTTGGAAGCTGCATAGGAATTTAGCACCTTACCTGTCCATGACAGAGCTTTGCAAGCACTTACAGAAAGACAACAAACACTGCACAAAGATCAAACCTCAGATTCAAACTGATACCAAAGACAATAACGTGGATAAAAATCACCCTTCTGCATCCAGTTGCATGAAAGTTTTATTTGCCCCTCCCAGGCTCAGATGGGAACAAGAGCAGCATTTGGCTCCTCCTCTCCAGAACAGCTGTTCTCTCTTAAAACACAATGTTTTAAGCAGCAAATTCAAGGAGCTCTTTAGTTGTTCACCCAACTAAATCCCTGCTCACGTTTAGTTGTTAAGCAGCAAATTTAAGGAGCTTTTTAGTTGTTGGTTTCCCCCTCAGATACATTTCCTGACACTACGAGTGCTGAGCCTCTCTGAGGTGAGGTTTTTTTTCACCCAACGTGGGTGGGTGATACAGGATCAGTCATTATTAGGGAATGGAACAGTTCCCACAGAGCAGCTCCACTAATCCATCATTTAAGAGCAGATTCCCTCAGAACTTTTCCCCCACACTCTTGGTCAAACCTGCTGCTGGTTTCCCAGCTGGGGGAAGGTCTGCAGACCCCGTGGATTCCCAGTGCAGGACATGGATTGATGGAGATCCATGCCTTGGATCCCTCCAGGAGCCGATGGCACCGAGCCTGTCTCCCTGCATTAGGAGCCTGACAGAGGATGTCCCAAGCTCTGCTGCAAAATTCCCAGCACCCTGCTCAGCTTTAACAGAATCAATACATCAGGAACCAGGAGAGGGAGAAGGGTTGTCACCCTCCAGTTGTCACCCTCCGTGGGAATTCCGGGAGCTGGGATGCACAGGGAGGAGGAGGAGGGATGTGGAGGATGCAAGAGGAGGAGGAGGAGGGATGTGGAGGATGCAAGAGGAGGAGGAGGGGGATGTGGAGGATGCAAGAGGAGGCCATACACGCAAAAATCTCCTCTCCATCACCTCAGACAAGTCATTCCACAGCCCTCACTTCACCTCCAGCCCCTTCAGGAAGCTCCTCAGAGCTGGGGGGGGCACGGGGGGTTCTCCCTTGGGTGTTTGGCTGTGGCAGGGGCACCTCACTGGTTTGGGTGACAGTTCCCAGGCAGGAAAACAGGGACACCCCAGCACATCCTCTGCAGGCCTTTGCTGGTGTGTTTTTGGGGCAACAGCTCCTCTCCACAGCACAGCATTTTTCCAGAAGGGGTAAATTCTTCCAGGTGGGTTTGGGAACACTTTGACTGCCCAAGCACGGGAGGTGCATCGTGCACTTCCCAGCAGGCAGAGCACTGAAACAGCAGCAGGTGATCAACATCAAATAAAAACATCCCATGAAAACCCTTTAAAAACTGCATTTTTCAGAGTTCCTGCACTGGTCCTGGCAGACCCCAAGTTTTAAGTCTGGAGCAGGTTCAAACTACAACTCCTGTATTCAAACATCTGCAGAGACCCTCACGGGCCACAGAGCAACCACTTTTGGGGTGTCTTCCCTGGTGCTGTCCCACTATCAGACATTTGGATGATAAATCCTTCCAGAAAGCACACTCTTTTAAACATTAAATCTTAATAAACCCGACAGTGCCCAGCACCCAGTGGCTTGTTCTTGTACCTCAACTAGTAGAAGCACACAGAGGGACCCTTTAACTACTTTCTACTGGGTTTTTTTCATGTATCAGGTTATTCCTTTCACCTCTCTCTTCCCCCTGGAGTTGGAGCTTCCCCCCAGTGCTGCAAACCCACTCCCCACCACCCAAAACACATCCAGAAGCTCTCTTTTGTTCCAGAATTGTTATGACCCAGCAGAAACACAGCCTTGTGCTGGCTCTTTATCAATCCTGTTCTCCAGGACTCCCTACATAAACTTATCTCACACAGTTTAAGTGATTTAAGCAGATTATTGATATAATAAGTAGAAAAAAACCACAGTTCATTCCTCAGGAGGGCTCAAGGAACACTTTGAATTAGGAATCTCTCGAGCAAAACCACTTGCTGTTCTGTTTTTGGATTTATAACTGAGAGAGAGAGGCGCAAAAATACAAGGGGAAAAACAAACAACACAAATAAACCAGTCTCTCAACAAAAAAATCAAATTAGAAAATCAAACCCTTCCCATGGATTTCTTTTCACCATAAGCCACTGGAGGAAAGGCTGCTTTGTTCTGTATTGGGACCCAGACACTGCCTGGTAAAGCAGTTGTTGTTTAAGGAGCTCTCATTTCTCCAGGAGGCTTCAATAATTGATCACAAAAGCACTATTAGTCATTTAGTATCACTAAAAAAATCTCACTTCAGAGAGGCTCAGCACTTGTAGTGTCAGTAAATGTATTTGAGGGGGAAACCAACAACTAAAAAGCTCCTTAAAACTTCAGTCCACGCAGCTCTTTACTCCAGTTTTTATTTGTTTTATGGGAAAACACCCTTGCTGCTGCCTTTTTCTATAGCTTTATTTAATATGTGAACCTGTAACTCAACTCAGGACGTTAAATATAAACAGTTCTTCATACACAGCAACAGAATTTTTAATCCACCAACTTTATGCTGATGCTACAAAAACAAAGAACTGAGCCCAAGCTACTTACAATATATTATTGATTTTATACCAGAAGGCAAACCAGGTCAAAACCTATAAGGTTTAGTTTCCATTACTATAAAAAAGTTTAAATATTTTTACAATACAAGGGCTTTGTTTTCAACCTCAGCTCTAATACAAAAATGCCTGAGGAAAAAAAAAAATCACTAACAATTGTAAAAAATGCACAAAGACATTATAACCAAACAGTAATGTCCCTTTACCTTCAGAATCCAGGGCTCTACTAACAGGAAAAACACAAAATCAGGACCCAAGGGGCCCCCAATGCTGAGTTTTATCCTGTTCCCTCAGAAAAACCTGCCAATGAAACTCCGGGCTTTGATTTCCCAGCTGTGAGATTGGAAAATTGGCAAATCAAGCTTTCCTGTGTCTCCCAGGTGGGGAGAATAAGAGAAATCACGGGGACACAGGTGGGCAGTACCTGGGATTAAAGAGGGAGGGTCAGAACACAACTTAAAAAGCAGGGCAGAAGCAGGGCTGGTTTTTTAGGTGGCAAAGTCGTGGTAGAAAACAGCAGAAAAAAAACTAATGGCTTGTAGTTTTAAAGGTTTTAATTTTTTTTTTTAATTTTATCTTTTTAATGATAATGTGATTTTAACAATAGCGATTGAAAATGTGGCAGGAAAAGCTGAATAAATTGGCTGTGAAGAACTTAAGTAAAGAAAGAAGTATTTATGTGAAAATTATGGCTGGGGAAATGACTGTTTGCTGCTTTTACTGTAAGGTAAGCAAGAACCTTGGGGTTTTTAATGCTTCAGAATAACTTTATTTGAAAACAAGTACGGTTTTTATGCACTTTTATGAAGGGTTTGAGCACATGAAGTTAATTTTATCACAAGTGAAATACAGGAAAATACAGAGATATGCTGGAGGAGGATTGAGTGAGTTTGCTTAAGAATTACTGTGCCTAAACCTGAGCTTGGGAAGGCTTGGGGGTTTGTGGGGGTTTTTATTTTAAGTGTCTGTTACCTCTGAACATCAATAGTTTAGCTCTGGTGGTGCTTCTTGTCTTGGTGTGGATTTATTTTAGAGAAGCTTTGAGGCTTTTGAAGCTCTTAATGCAGGAATAATGCTGAATGTAAATTATTAAATATAGCTCAGTATTGAATTAATTGAATATCTTAATGTCAA